CAGGCCAGCCCACAGTAGTCTTGCTAACCTGCCAGTCTGCCTGTCAGTTGACAGACGCATTAGCAGCTGCTATACGCAGTGTGCATTGTAGGGAGCACAGAGCAGTCGATAACCAGGTACACATGCTCCTAAAAAGTGTCTTTGGGTGCCCTGCTTCACACTTGGAGCGAGAGGTAGCACAAGCTGCCCCTTTTGGGTGCACGTCCCAGGATGGCAGCAGCTGTGCACTTGGAGAAGGGAAAATGATGGCAGGGATGATGGGTTTCCCAGGTGTCCTGCCTGTTCCATGGGCCCCGAGGTCTAAGGTGGCCCAGCTTATTACAGCTTAGTTCTGTCCTGTTCCTTGTCCCTGGTTTTGGTTACTGGCCATACCACTATGTCTTGCTGGTGTTCTTAGAAATGTACTCATAAAGTGAATTTTAAAATAAAGTGAGTCATACTTTAAGGTCAGAAGAGCACTTCCCCTCCCCCTTAGAGAAGACTTTGGTGAATCCTTGAGAAGGAAATAATGATTTTTAATGATTTTTATAGAAGCCAGAATCAAATCTTGATTGATCTGGCTTGTAAGTCTGGAGATTGTTGAATGTCAGATTTTCCTGAAGTGGGACCCAGGCCATGTGGCATGGCCAGAGAAGTGATACATAGGGTGGGCCCCAGAGGTCGCAGCATGCAGCGCAGTGTGGAAGGACCAGGCCTAATCGAACACCACTGGCTTTGTGGGTGACTGAACATGATGTGTTTCATTTCCTTCTGTTTTTTTCTCACAGGGAAGGTCATTGTAAGGCCTTCATTTCTTTTATCTATTTAGGAGCAGGTAGAGGTATTCAGAACAATATGGAAGACATCAAGCAACTGGAGAACTAATCAAATCAGTGATCATTTGATGTTGTGAGCTCAAGATTTAAGTTAGAAACTTCACATCTGAGTCCTATTCTTATTTTCTTCCACGTCATTTATTCTCAGTATATTATTTGTAATCCTAGTTATGTTAATCAGCCTTTGACCCCAGTAGTTCAGACTTTTTGAAGACGATTCTGCAAAGACCTGCTATCCAAGGGAGGAAGTTTTGTTAAGTCTATGACTCTGGCTGAGGAATTCCTTTCCTACTTTACGGCGAAGCCATAAACTCTCCTAACACTTTTAGAGAACTGGAGGAACCAGTGTTAAGAGTTGGTGGGTTGTTTTAACAAGTATAATACGTGCCTTCTACGGAGGGAAGAGAGATGGGTAAGACATGCAGCTCTTGTACTAGTCAAGGCCAGGAGCACATGTCCCAAGAGGAGGTGGACAGAGGCCCTGAGTCTTCGCATTGGTTACCAGAACCCTGCCTGACAGCATTTGGGGCTTTGCACATGTGTAGTATCAGTAAACATTACTCTCAAAAATATTTAGCAAATCAAGCTTTTCCAAATTTTACATTGGTCTTTTCCTCATATCTTTATGAGTTATTGAAATTTTCCTGGATGTGAAGATAATTAGTGGGTTTAATTGATTAGAAAAGGCTTTAAATTGAGAACTCAGAAAAATCCTAGGTCAGTCATGGAAAAGAGAAGGCTGAAATGAATAGATAGCAAAAATGTAACTAAAGGAAACCCAGGATGGCCGTTCCCATGGAATGGCAGCTCTGTGGTCAGTGAAGACCCCTTTTCCCCACACGCCGCAGAAACACTCCCATCCCCTTAGGTATAAGGTGAAAGTTAAAAGACTAGATTGTTTTGTTTCTCTTCCTCTTTCATTTTGTTCTTGCTGGTTAGTGAAGAAATGATCTTGGATAGGAAAACCACATTAGAATTTTGAGAAGTTGCTTTTTTAAATAAAGTTGTTTCCATGCCACAGACATTTGGAGAGGAGTATGTTTATTGAAATACATTTTTATAGAAAATATTACAGATTCTGTAGTTGAAAACTTATGGCAGTATTTTGTGGAGTGATATGTTCTTAATGTTAATTTGTGGATTCTCTCTGAAATTCCTTCTGCTGTTTTAGAGCCATTGGCTGAGTGAACATTTTCCAAGAGTCTTTTCATATCTAAACTGTGTTTCATGGAATGGAGTGTTTGGTGCTTAAATAATGTATAAATCCAGTTGGACAGGAGCTGCCTGTCAGTTTTATTAACTTTGACCTTTTCTCCCATTATAAAGGTGGTTCAGTTAATATTTAATGGGCCGCTTATAGATCTTGACAGTCAGAGCCGTGTTCCTGGAAACTGGGATCCGTATATATGATTAACAAATGTCACTTAATCATTATGAGTCAGCTTGCAAGGGCAGATTTTGTTTGGGAGAAGAGGAGTCCTTCCGCCTACATGTGCTCATAGAGCTGCACTGTATGTTGAGAGCATCCAAGATAGTAAAGGGTTCACAGGAACTCTAGAAGAGGAGGCAGCAGTTAGCATGCACTTGTACTGTGTGGATTTTTGTTTATTTGAGCAAATGGTCCAAATGATGCCAGGTGGGCAAAATCCCCCCTGCCACTGTGCATCATTAGCAGGACTCTGCCTCTCAAAGAGTCAGCAGGGCTGGAATGGCTGAGCTTGCATGGACAGGGAAGGAGAGCCAAAAGGAGAGCTGATTCCTTGAGCCAGGAGGGGCCCCTGCCAAGCTGTCTTCCCTTTTAATTCCATAAAGCCCCATGCATATTGCACTCATTGCAAATTCTGGTGGGGAAGATCGAAACCCAAGCAGCTGACATTTTGAAACATTGTCTTTCAAACTTGTACTGTCCCTTGCTTCCATTGATTTCCCATTTAACAAATCTGTAGGAGAAAACCAAATTTGAGCAAAATTCATTGGTCTAAGATGAGTTGTTAGAGCCAAATTATGCCCCCCTTTTCCACCCTGAGAAGAGCTCTGTTTCTATTATGAAGGCGATATATCTTTGTCTTGTATTGTGCGGCCATAGGCTCCCACAGCAAATCGACCAAGTAAATCAAGAGCCTGTTCAGAAGCAATGCAGATGCTCCCAACACAGACATTCCAGTCTTACTGGGTCACTGCATATCTTTATTTTTATAGCCACTTGCAAGGAGCAGATCATTTCAACTGGCTTTGTTTTTCTCACTTTCTATTTGTGCGCAGTCCTGTGGCTTTAGGTGAGGCCATTTATTTTTCAGAACCTTATTACCCTTTGCATCCAGGCCCTAGCCTGTTATATGTGGTAGTCACCAGTTTCATTACCACCAGCTACAGTGTAGCTGATTTGGCAAAGAAAATCTATGTCTTGGAAGAGCATTTTGAAAAGAAATTGATTTGTATGTTTAGTTAATTCTAAATGTATAGTTTTTTGGCTTTTTTTTTTTTTTTTTTGAGGTAGGGTCTCGCTATGTAGTTCAAGGCTGGCCTTGAACTCACTTTGTAGTCCAGGTTGGCCTCAAACTCACAGTGATCCTTCTGCCTCAGGCTCCTGAGTCCTGGGATTATAGGTGTGCACCACCATGTATGTTTGAAAGAGGAGGAAACATTAGATGTTATAAACGGTCTCAGTCCAGATTCTTAGCTTGGCATTTGTACATCTGAGTGTTTTATTTACATCTGTTCGAAATCGGGATACCTTTAAAGGCTGATTTTATTGTGGAGAGATTGACGACAGCTCTTAGATCTGAAATACAAAAAGCGTAGGATTAAAACCGAGGTAAAAGTCAATGTCATATATTAGGTTGGATATATAGTATACTATATTTGGCAGTGAGTGAGAATCAGTAGTTATTTTTAAATCAAAATGGGAGGGTTGACAGCATTGGGGCGTGGGGCAGTTTCTGCAGTGGTGGAAACTTCTGTATCTTGGTTGGAGTGCTGGTCACACAGATGTATGCCTTTTCTCAGAATTCATCAGACTGGACACTCAGAACATGTGCATTATATTTTACCCAAACTGTAGCTCCAAGTGGACATTTTTAAAGTCTTGTTTGGTTTAGAGTTAGACAGTGTCATTTCTCTTTTCCAACAGAGAAGTTAAAATACGGTAAAAGTAAAATGATCTGTCCTAAGTAACTTCAAAGCTCAGCAGTTTGTTCAGGAATAAAACAAAGAATGCTGGCGTGGAGCTGTCTGCAAAGATGCAGCCCACCCATTATGGTTCCACTTGCGTGTAAGTAGAAATGAAATAGATTTCTCCACCAGTCCTCTTCAGCGAGCCTGTATCCATTTATATGCCTTGTCAGATACGAATGAGCTTGTTCTTAGGGTTGACATTCAGACCTTCATCCTTGAGAAAGGTAGCCTGGCGCTTCTCAGCACTGACTTCTGGTGTATTTGAGTTCATATGACTAGCTGTGTTGTCCTTACTTGCTACCATAGACTGAGTTTTGTGGGTTTTATTATAAGCAAGACATGACTGTTGCAAGAGCTCTCAGAGCTTTGTCTCTGCGGAAAGCCTGTGGATCTTTCTTAGAAAAGGACATTAGTATTAAAACCATTGCCACGAAACGTATGAATGATAGTGAAAAATGAAGAAAGTAGGTAGGTGTGGTAGTGCACACCTCCATTGCCAAGTTCAAGCCCAGCATGGGCACTTGCGTGTCTTAGAGAGTGTCTTAAAATACAGAACAAAATAAAACAAAAACTGTAAAAGGGCTGTGAATGTAGCTTAGTGCAAAGACCCTGGGTTCAATTCCCAATACTACAAAAGGAAAGAAAGGTAAAACTTACCCAAATTCTGCTAGTCTTTAGAACCTCTTTTTAAATGTCTCTCTGCTTATAGCACAACTGTTTTTAATTCAACAAAATGGTTTAAAATTATTTTCATACTTTAACCACTTTCCCAGTTCATTGTTGGACATTTCGATCTTGATCCGTTTCATTGGTGGGTAATATTGTGATGAGCAACTTTACTCATGTTTCTGTTTACCCGGTTACCTCTGTATGAATCAATTTTTGAAGCACGTTAGTAGCTGTATTTGAAATTACTTAAAATATTGTGACGGTAAAATTGTCAAGTCTTGATAGCTGGAGGCCTTTTGTCCCACTTTTACAAGCATCGTCTTCCCCTTTCCTTCCCTGCAGTTGCAGTACCACGCAGGTCTTGCATCTGGCCTTTTGAATCAGCAGTCGCTGAAGCGCTCTGCGAATCAGATGGGAGTGTCAGCCAAGCGGAGACCAAAGGCTCAGCCCACCACCCTCGTCCTGCCACCTCAGTGAGTGACGGGTTTGCAAACGCAGTTTCATCCCGGCTGGACGCTCATTCATGCTTGCTTTGGGCTCGCAGAAAGTCGTGTTTCTTTTAAAAAGGAGTCTAGTAGCAAAAGAAATCGAGTGTGATGGTGTCATCATTTACGTGCATGTTTATAAAGCAGCTATAATGCAGCTAATATGTGACTTTCCCGTGTGGTAGGAGTTTTATATGTCACATAGCTTAATATTTATTATCACTATTCCGAAGTTGGCAGAACATGCGGTAGTGGTCTTTCTTCTGCCAGGGAGGCAGCTGAAGAGCACACTTGGAAAGCTGCAGATGACCTAGGAAGTCCACCAGGGATAGGCCCACGAGCAGCTGGCTTGGTGCATGTAATTAGTGATATGTACACTCTTCTTTGTCCCACCAGGAGCAATCCCAGATACAGTGAGAGTCACACTGAGAGTCCTAGAACATACAGCCTGATGCCTTTTTCACACACAAGTGCACGCAGGTACCCACCACTTCCACAGTCCTACAGGCCCATCTTGTTCCCAGTCTGCACCTGTGCTACCTTCTTCTCCACACCTAACACTGTTATAACTTCCTGAAACATTATTGCCTGTCCTTGAACTTGATATAAACCATGCAGTAAGTCATTATTTGTATCGGTTTTTTTTTGTTGTCTGTTTCTTGATTTGTTTTGTGTTGTGCATTAAATTCAGGGCCTTGTGCATGCTAAGCACATGTTCTGCCCCTGATCTACAACCCCAGAATGGTATATCACCTTTTTCTTTCACTCAACATAGTATCTGTTAGGTTCATCCAGGCTGTTTGTTCTTTTTTGTTGCTGTGTAATATTCCTTTACCTGTGCCGTGATTGGTTATTTCCCTGTTAAGTTGTTTTGTAGCAGACCTAGTAGGTGTGTGTCAAGACTCATCCAGTGATAGGAGACAGAAGTGTGAGCCTTCCGGTGCCTTCTGACAGCTTTTCTGTCCATGTGCACACTCCCCACAGGGCCCGTCCTCCCAGGGGCTGAACTTGGCTTTCAGACACATCACCTAGCCTGTACTGCTCTCGTGCTCACTTTTATTTATATGCCTGTTTGCAAACTGCAGTTTTACATTTCTTGCCAGAAAGAGCATTTGCGTATGAGATCTGATTGTTTCTTTTTGCTGAAGATCTCATTCGTTTTGTTAGGTTAGCACATACTTACCGTGCCTACTACCGTATGTGCTGGGCAGTTCCAGGTTCTGAGACTACAGCCATGAGCAAGGTGGGCAGGGTCACATCTTCCTGGCACTTTCGTAGTAGAGGGGAAAGGCAGGGGGAAAACTTCAATAAGTCAATACCGTACTCGCCAGTTACGGTGAATGCTGGGAAATAGATAAGCATTGGCAAGGAGGGCAGAGAACCTGCTTCGATAGGGCAGCAGCCAGAGAGGCCTCCATGAGGAGGTGACTTGAGGCTGAGACTGCGGGGAAAGGGGGGCAGGAAGTGGGAACCCCCAAGACTGGTTCCTGTGGGCCCTTTCTCCCACTGGTGGGGGCTCTTCTGCCACAATTTCTATGACCTTCAGGGTTCCTTCCCAGCTCACACTTGCTTCCCACACAGCACAAATGCAGCCAGCCCACCCCTGATAAGTTGTTTTTGCATGCTGCATGCATGCACAAGCGCCATGTTTTTTGAAAAGCAGTGGATTGAGAAACGGAAAGCTTCTTAAGGAACGGTACTCTGTTGTTGTCACGTGCTGGTGTGGTGACTCTGTGCGCCGTGAAGTTCAGCTCCTCCAGTCTGCTGGGCCTTGTACCCTGTCGTCTTCCCTGTGTGCATTGTCTGCTGAGGCAAGGTGGTTGACGAGAAGTGAGAGACTCTCTGATGGTCCCATAAGACTGGAGCTGAAAAGTGTTTGTTGCTAACTCTCTCTTGACAAAAGTCAGTTCTTAGTCCATCTGTTCGCCATTTGTTAATTTGCATTGGCTGGAAACCTGTTTACAGGTGACAGGCTATTATGAGGACTCTGAGAAACTATTCTGAGCACCAAGGCAATCAACAGACTTTGTTCTGGTGCCAAGGGAAGAAAGAGAGGTGTTCACAACTGTCATTATAAATTTATAATAAATCACTCAAAATACTTAGTTTCAAAGGGGAAAATGGTTAGTGAGTCCCAAGAATACAACAACAAAATGATTTCCTATATTTAGCAACCTATTTCCTGCAAAAATTGACTGCTGCCTTTTCACATCATTGAGCTTTTTGGGCTCACATTATCCTGGAATCCCCTTTTAGAGCTGCTGTCCAGGAGGCAGGATCCGTAGCGCAGACTTGCTCTGCATTTTTATTGAGTACCTGTTATGTGGCACTCATTGTTTGATGTTGACCAGAAATACAACATAGGTACTGACCTAATTTTATACAAACTTTATGAAAGTTTTTTAAAGTTAAAAAATAAATCTAGCAGTAAAACAACAAAGATAACAAAAATAGCATCACCCCGAGAAAGGCACTGTTAATATTTTGATGGCTATCATTCATTCTAGACTTTTTCCCCATAGAGATGTAGTATATAATTCTTAAAAACAAACCTCTTAAAAGGATTATTGTTTTGCATTATCCCCTAACATTATTGAAAGCAGTTGTTATCGCAAGGCCGCATAATTTGATGTATGGAATATTTGAGTTTACATATTAATAGTGATGTTACTGTTGTATTCCACACCAGAATCCTGTTCATAAAAATTTTTTATTATAAACATGACATGACCATAAATTAAGTTTGTCATTAAGGAAATCCTCTGAATCTCTTCTAAAACAGCCAAATCCTCCAAGGTTGCCGTTAATGAACGAGTGCTACAGAACAAGTGGCCCTCCGACCAAGTGTTTTCAGTAGCACCCTGTCTTAGGGTCTGTGGGCAGGGGTCTGGGAGTGGCCTGTCTGGGTGGCTCTCCGTCAGTCTCCCATCAGTTGCAGGGAGATGGTGGGCAGCCCCCAGTCATCTGAGGGCTCTGCTGGGGCCTGAAGCTCGGCTTCCAGGCACTCGGTACGCAGGCCGGCTGGTGATGGCCATGGCAGGAGGCCTCTCTCAGCTGCCTGAGCGTCCTCATGAGATGGCGGCTGGCTGCTCTCAGCAGCCTAAGGGAGTGAGAGCCAAAGGCTTGACCTGGCCTCGGACAGCACAGCGTCACTTTACCCCATCGTCTTCATTGGAAATGAAGTCGTGGGGAGCGAACAGGCTCTCTTTTCTGAAGGCAGAAGCATCAGAGACTGCAGACATGTCTTGAAATCACCCAGTTACCAGAAGGAAGACAGGTTGCACAGGAGAAGGCTGGCCTGGTTCGCTGATTTCCGCAGTAAATACTCACAGAAGCCTGCAGGGGCTTAGCTTCGTGCACGTGCTGGGAACTCGGAGTGAGCACATCATCAAGGCTTTCCGGAAGCTCTGAGCAGAGATGGGAACAAGCAAGTAGCAGGACGTGGCAGCAGCGAGTGCCTGTCCTGGTGATCTACATGGTCCTCCGGTGCCTGAGAGGCCGAGTATGAGGGTTCCTCCCCTGCCAGCTGTGAGGAGTGAGTCCTTTTGTCAGGAGAGCGCGATGCTTTTTTGCATGGGCCTCCGGGATTCCAAGGACAGGCTTGTTTCTGAACAGTGGCGGAAGCCGGTGAGGGGCTGGGGCTGCTGCCCCACGCACCTCTGCCCTGGCTCCGCCCAGCTGTACTGAGACCACAGGTGTGGCAAGAGCACAGATTTGTACAATGCGTTTGTTTTTCAGATGCAGTTGGCTTGAACTGTACTAGTCTTTGAAGACTCCAGTTCCCTCCTGAGTTCTATAGGATGAGCAATTCGTGGGATTAATGATTCGTATTTTCTCCCCTTCCAAAGAAGCTCTTAAGGAGATGAAGATGTCCATGCCGAAAGATCTCTCACCCGTGGTGGGAAGCTCGGCCTTCCTTCCATGGCGCCCCAGTGTTCACTCCGTCTCTGCAGCACAGGTACCATCTTTCCATGAAGAGGCTGCATCTCGTTGCTGGGTCGGGACTGCTGGCTTGCCTCTCAGAGGACGAGGTCAGCCGGGCAGTGCTGTCTCGTTCGGGCTATTTGTGCATTTAGTATTGGTCACATGAACCTGTGCCTGCTGGTGCTCTCTCTGTCTTAGAGAGCAGCCTTGACTTCCCAGCACAGGTCTTGGCATGTTTCCAAGTGAACATGGGCTGTTGATTGGATCCGTGTGTCCAGGTTGAATGGCCCGTGACTCCTGGTCTCAGTAGCTAAGGAGGTGCTGGCTTTCTGTGGCAGCAGAGGTAGAAGGTGCTGCACACCTAGGTCTCATTTAGGTTTGAGGGGGAAAAATCATTCTAAAATGCTACCCTATCCCCCAGAAGGCAGTTTTACGAAGAGGTCCTGCCTGCCACATTAAGGGCCCACTTCTTTTCCTGGGCTCCCGTCTCTGTGGTCACTGGGCAGCAGCTGACTGTGCTGTGCCTGTAGTGCAGGCCCAGCCCTTCCTTCTCCGCAGTGCTCATCTGTCTTTGTTCCCTCTCCTTACTGCGGGTGTCCCTTCTCCTGGTCCCTTCCCTCCAGGACACAACTACCTCCTGTGACAGCTACCTCCTGTGAGAAGACTCATCTCCCCTCTTGAGAGCAGAACGCTTCACAAGAGTTGGCTTCTTACCTGCAGGTTCTCTACTACCCCGGTGGTCACCATTGCAGCCTCTGTACCTGTACCTGCACTTTTTGTCTCTAAAACTTTACAGAAGTGGAATCATGTAGAATTTCTTACTCCCTTCCGTTTCCTTCACTTACCAGGCTGCTTCTGAGTGTCATTTATGTTGCATGTACCAGTGGTTCGTTCCATGTTGCTGCCAAGTAGCATCCTTTCACCTTCCGTGGAGCCTGTCGGTGGCATCTCCTCCACATCTCAAAACTGTTTCAATATTGTCTGATGCTTTAAGAGAGCAACGCCTTCTCTTCGCACTCTGGTTGCTGGATGACCTATCTCGTGTTAGAGCAGCATCAGTAGCA